ATTTTAAGCATGTGTTGGAATTCATTAAAATACTTTTGATCAGCTTTTTTGTTTTTTACTGAACCAGAGATAGAGGATTCACAGTTCAGTCATTCTTTAAAACTTCAAAAGGGGATGCTCTCATAAATAGTTAATTGTATGCCTCATTTGTTGACTGAAAAGTGCAAAATAAATGTGAACAGTTAAATTAAACTTGGAGTTAGACAAAGCATGCTCTCTGATACATCAAAGATGAGGGTTAGAAGATATTGTCCCATGAAAAACATCATCATCATCTACTACTGAGTGACAAATCATATTTATCATTTAAAAGTATGATGATGATGATAATGATGTTGTTGAATGTTGGGTCATAATTTCAACTGTTTATCTCTAATTACTTAGTATCTCAATTTCTACTTTTGATATAATTAATGTAGTCATTTTTATGTAGTAAAAATTTGATGAGTTTTTATGTAGTAATTATGATTAAAAAATATTTTGTATGTGGCAGAAATGAGCTTCTATATTAAAATAGATATGAAGTCCTGACTCCTGACCAAAATGAAACACACTCTCACAAACATGCACAATCATGATTCAAATACAGAACTGTTGAACATGTGAGGTAATGAGTAAAACATCACTAGTTAAACTAACATATGCCAATAAACCACAGAGGTATTATCAATGCTGCGATGTTGTCTGAAAATGATTTCTCTGTAACACTTTACAATAAGGTAAATTAACACCTTAGTTAACATGAACTAAGAATGAACAATATTTCTACAACATTTATTATTCTTATATTAATTTCAAAATTTACTAATACATTATTAAAATCCAAGGTTGTATTTGTTAAAAGGGATACTCCACTTTTTTTGGAAATAAGCTCATTTTACAACTCCCCCAGAGTTAAACAGTTGAGTTTTACCATTTTCGAATCCATTCAGACGATTTTCTGATATTTAGAAGATTGTCAGTTACCACACAGTTTCTGGTCTCATTGACTTCCATAGTATATATATTTTTTTCCTACTATGTCAATGAGACCAGAAACTGTGTGGTAACTTACAATCTTCTAAATATCAGAAAATCGGCTGAATGGATTCGAAAACGGGAAAACTCAACTGTTTAACTCTGGGGGAGTGGTAAAATGAGCCTATTTCAAAAAAAAAGAAGTGGATTATCCCTTTAACATTAGTTAATGCACTGTGAACTAACATGAACAAAGGATGAACAGCTATATTTTTATTTACTAACAAAGATTAACTAATACAGTAACAAATGTATTGATTATTGTTAGTTCATGCTAGTGTTAACTAATGAACCTGATTTTAAAGTGTTACCGATTTCTCCTCTTTTGAAGACACACCGGTTCAAAGGAGGCATGTGGGCATAAAAGCTTTTCCTGTTACCATAGCAATGGAGTCAGCCACATGACATCAAATAAACGCTTTTGACGGTAGCTACTGGTGACCTAGAAAACCTACTGAATACGAGGACCCACAGGGCATCAAAACCAATTTCTCACGGAAGAAGAAAAACTCAAACAAACACAACTGAGGGGAACAAAAAAAAACAAACAAACATGAATATTCTATTTTTAAGGAACAGTTTGAGATTTGTCAAAAAGTATATTAAACTTTCTATCATATGAATTTCCAACAGACCAAATATTGTATGATGTATTAAACTATAACCCTAATATATATATATATCCCTCTTCAAAACACATTATGAAGTTAACATCTTATAAAAAAATGAAAAGGTATTTCTTGTAAGACCCTCTCCAACTTCCCTGCCATGTGGTCACTACTGTATTATTCAGACTGTGTACGGATGTGTTCAAAACTGGTCCAGTGAATCAGACACCTCCCCCTCAAAACTCCTAACCACTGATTAAAATTCCAGAGCTCCAGCAGTGCTACCCTGCCACTGTCATGGGACACCAACCAAAATTAACAACCTCTGGTAGCTAGTCAATCATCAGTCAAATGCTCATGAATGATACACCAATGCAAGACAAATTGTCCATCGCTTCTAATGCACTTGCTATGACCAGAGAGCATGTGATTCTTGGTAGCACTTTATTTTACAGTCCTGTTTCGCATGAACATACTATTTAGGCAACTTTGTTAAGCCACTAACTAGGTACTAACCCTGAACGTAGCCCTAAACCTTATGTAGTTACCTTACACTACTCAGTACTTTTGTAGTTAAGTACACTGTAAATACATTAAAAGTGCACGTAGAGTAAAATAAAGTACAACCTGATTCTTTTTCTTTTTAATTATTCATTTAAACAGAACATTTGCACCAACAACAGACATTGTCCGGTCTGTTATGCATTTTGCAACAAACAGACTAAGTCCAATAATAAACTGCTGAAAATATTCCTATTCCATATTAAACACTACCAATTCTAAAACAGTAAATATATTTAGGCAATTTCACACTTACAATTCTGCGGTTATGATGTCACCAGAGATCACACATAATTACAGATGTGCTAATAAAGCAGGCAACCAGAATACTGCGATATTGACAATGCTTTTATACAACAGCATAAACACAAAATTTATATTTAATAACTTACATTTTAGATACAATATTGCCTGTTACTTTGTCTATTTGTGCTCCACCAATGAAAATAGCTCTAATCTGTGTTTTTGATTGAATAATTTGGGGCAATGACCCACTGGCTGTGTCGGAAATCACCCCATACCCTTAAATAGGGTACTAATGGACAGCCATTTGTAATTGTGTCTGAAATCATAGTGGACATTATCAAGTGCACTCATTCAATCCCACAGTGCACTGCAATAACAAGTGTACAACCGATGTACGCTCAACGGCTAGAGAATACCCATAATGCACTGTGCCTAATTAATTTCCTGCGTCTGACCAGAAGATGGTGCTGGTCCAAAGTGGCTACAGCGTAATATCATACATACTGGTATAAATTCCTTTTAAATCGATTATTAAATTGTTTTATGATGGACTCTTAAAGCATCTCAGACCCAATGAAATTCAAGGACCAGAACTAACTGTCGTAAAAGGTCACAGCTAAAATAATTTAAAATCCACGTTGTCTATAATATCAAGTCAAAATGTTTGATTTCTGCACTCACATAAGGTGAATATAAGGTCACTGTGAACTACAAGGCCAAAGATAATCTTAAGACATTCTTTTTTAAAACAAATCACCCATGATCTGCCTTCATCCCTATAGCAAACAGACCATGCGTTACAGCAGAGAAGGTGGATGAGAGATCTTAAAACGTTAAGTTTGCAGAGAACAAAAGCACTGCAAAAAAATCAATTTGGTTTTGGCACATTGTTATTGCATTAATCCTTAAAGCTCATCTCATTGGAGTTAAGCCTTCTGCACTGATCTCATGTGTGGACTGACTCTGGTGCACAGTCCCATGGAGAAAGCCATTGTTCAACACGCATACGTTAGCATAATATTAGGCCTTGATCCTCCGGTGTGTCTGTGGGCAAGTTGGATTCTCCCAGGTTTCATTAGGCAGAGAAACCATGCCTGGTGCCTAAAACTTTACTGAATACAAAATGATCTCCAACTGTGAAAATCCACAGGACCTAGGGATGTAACGGTACCAAAATCTCAGTAGTCGGTACGATAACATTAAAATTTTACGGTTCTCTCTGTACCAATTTCAGTACCACAGCAAAAATGTATTTAACTATTTGAAGAAAATATTCAATTCAATTCAATTACTTTATTATTTAAGACGGTAAACAAAAATATTGATGATATTGAGAAATATTGCTTCTAAAAAACATCAAGTGAAAAATAAGCAACCTTCTACGCACACATTATTATTAGAAGTTAAATCTATTGTACAGTAGCCTAAGATAATTATTTCTGTCAATTTCAAGTTAAAGTTTCAAGTCATATCAAGTTAAACCAAATATTTATTTTTGACGGGTTGCCGCGAAGACCTTTGAGTTTGCGTGTCTGATATGACGATAGTTTTTCTCAAATTAAACGGTAAAATGCTCATGAAGTGATTCTCGGAGATTCATTGAATCATGAATCATGAATCATGTCATCATAACGTGAGGCAGCAGAGACTGAAAACAGAGCGAGTGTAACTCGTGCTTCAGTGTGTGTGTGTGTGTGTGTGTTTGTGTGTGAGAGAGGTAAGTTAAACAAAAGATCCATAAGCAAAAGATCCATAATTCCGATTAATGTGGAATATAGGTCAATAATATATGCTTTTGTTATTGTATGAGAAAGCGACCCCTAGTCACGAAAAATCCTGCATATTGCACCTTTAATTATAAAATCATAAATCATGTAAAAATATAAGCAAACATTTAATAAATTAATAAAATGCAGAGGTTTTTTTTGTTTGTAAACAAATACCACACACAAAAGTGGTGCAAATGTTCACCTCTGGTTCTTGATTCACATCCTGCACTACTCATCGCCAAAATTGTTACACACAAATGACAGGTCAGTAAAGAACATCACAACCCATCAAGGGGCAACATGACGAACCGTTAGGACAAACTGATTGTTTTTGATAAATAAAGAATGTAGCTGTCTGTGACCTCATGCACTTGGCTCCATTAGTAACTGTACATTTGCTACTTGGCAAGCTTTGCATTCCTCCTGATTCTGTACCAACTCTGTCTGATGTGGTTAATTAGTCAAGATTGAATATCCGTGCTGGCTGGCCAACAATAAAGCAAAATGGGAAACTTGTCCAGAACTAAAATATTCTCCATTTCAAATGTTAAACACAATCTCGGGATTTACAGAAACAAGAGTATTATGTTAATAAGAAGCTACAGTATCAGTGACCGTATAAATATATATATATATATGTGTGTGTGTGTGTGTGTGTGTGTGTGTGTGTGTGTGTGTGTTGCATAAAGTTGTGTTAAATAAAGTTGTGTTGCAATGCCCAAAGGCTTAGTGAATTGAAAACCTAAGATGTTCTTCAAACAATAATACACATAGGATAAAGAAAATTGGATTTGCTTACTGCATTGTGATCCCCCAGTGGTTTTTCAATCAGTGTCCCAAATATGGTAGGCTGCAAAAGAAAGTAGAAAATCCATCAATCAATAGAGGAACACAAAAGTTGACACACAGCTCATGAGCAAACGTGCAACAAGATAAACTTTCCTTTTAAATTAAATGAGGATGTAAACATCACATGATTCAGATGGTTCATAATAAAGGTTATCAGCGATTTCAGGCCCAAACCTAAATCATCACATTCATCTAATCTTTCCTAACGATCCGCTTGCTGCCCTCCCCATAAGCAGGCTTTCATAAAACGCATTTTTGAAGGCAGCCTAGGCTCTGAGATCTGCACACAAAAACAAATGGGAACAACCACTAAAATCAAAATAAACGGTGCCAATCACCAATCACCGATTGTTCATTTTTGCGCTCATGCACAGCGCCTGTGTGCGAAGTCGGAGCTGAAGAATAAGTCAGCGTCTATCAACCCTATGATATCAACGGACCAGATACATTTAACATGGAAGAGGCAATCCCCAAGAAGAGAAGGATAGGGCCAGGGAATACCGTCATTTTTTGTCAAAGAAACAAAATAATAATCGGGAAGGCTTTTGAAAGGTGGAAAGAACTCAAAGAACTGAAAAATTTTAATTCGGACGCCGAGGTTGCAGTGTTTCTTTTGGACAGGTGAGTAGCTTCTGGAGATGACTTTTTTGTATGTGAACTGTGTGTGAAAATATAATTCTTTAAAAAATATGACTGAAACGTGACTTAACTTGGATAGCTCTAGCAAATATCAGATTGTAGGGATTTAGTGTATGTGAGTTTTTCATGATGCACGAAACGGGAGGGAGGGGCGAGCTAACTTGGTTTGTTTGGGATCTCGCTTCAAACACAAACAGAAGTGACGTCCCCCACAATCGCTGATACAAGCTTTATGCAAAGCCAGAAAAGCTTTGAAACTAGAAAAAGACAGATGTGAGAGAAAATATTGTGTCAAATACACAGTTCCTTGTTTTTATAAAAACTTTAAAGCTTAAAAATGGTTGACCATTGCATTATTGTTTGCCTTTAACTGAGCTTGGAATAATGATTTATTAAACAGATTTTGCACACACTTGCACGCAAGTATTTAATTTTTTTTACTTCACAGCCAATTCTGGCATCCAAACAATATCATGGACCCTATTCTAGTATCTAAATATTTGCCTATGCCTATGCTTAGTGCATTGTGTCGTGATACTGACACATGACAAATTGCAAAATTGGCAAGATAATAATAAAACTGGCAAGAGAGATTGTTTTAAGAACTTTATTGAACCGTTTCATAATTAAGCAATCATTATGGCCAAAATCAACCTTTTTGAGAGCATAATTAATAAATCAGACTGATTACTGCAGTGTCACTGCATGTAGTGGAGTAATATTCCACAGAACAAGGTTTCCTGAGGCTGTTGTCCAGAACACAGGACGCTTCAAATGTTACAACCCCGGTGATATTTAATGACTGTGGCTGAGGAATAATGACTATAATAAAAGAGCGGAATTCATTACTTGTGTGAGCAGCTGTCTATGCCAAGATAAATGGAAATTGTGTGACAGATGAAAAAGAAGCTTGTTTGGCTAATTGAAGTCTAGACCTTCAAATAAGAAATGAGACAAAATGGCAGAATGCATCTCGCCCTGCAAGTCCATCGGTCAGTGATCCAAAGCAATTAACAAAACAACAGTACTGAGTTACAGCACCCGCTGGCTCCGGCAGAGAATGAGAAAATGACAGAATAGGCAGCAAAGCAAGTCATGCATGTAATTAAAACCATTCCACTAATACAACGGCTGGAATCATAATGGGCTACACTAACAATCCTTCTTCCCCAGCAAACTACTTGAGTAGCAAGTCCTGTCTTGCATTTTTTGTAGTTGGCTGGGTCAAAAAGGTAATCCATGTTGACTTAATCAGAAGGATGTTTGGAGTTTGGCACAGCTGGAAAGAGTGTGATCTCATGTATAATCTGAGGGCTGAATCATTCATCGGCCTATTAATTATAATCCGTCTTCTGTTCCACATCCTGTTTTTAATGCTACATTTTTGAGCTCAGAATTAATGGTGACACTTTAAAATCAAGTTAATGCAATATCTAAAATAAAATAACAATAATCAATATATTTACTCAACTTACGATTGTGTTTTTAAAGATTAAATTTGAATTGGACTTAGATAAAAGCAAAGTTAATTCAACTACAAAAATAGGAGTAAAACAGCATAAACAATTAAATATCCACCAATACAAATAAATTGAAAAATCTCCAGTATCGACTGATAAGTACTATGGTACCAATATATTACAGTTACAATAATATATTTATAAATTATCATTAATCTATATTAATAACTGCTGTAAAGATTTGTGGTGTTTAGTTCATGATATCTATTCCAAAGTGTTAAAAAATGCGTGTAGGGACTAACTTTCGGCCAACATGCCTGGCTTAACCATCTACTTCAGAAACCTCCAAGTGTGCTACTCCACATCAACCGCTTCAACTGGGTGGTACCAACAGCAGAAGAGAATAGCCATGGGTTGATCATTCTACCCAATTCTCTTCACCTCAGCCTTTGAGGTCATCCTAGAAGGAGGAAGACAGATGGGCAAAGGAATCAGATCGCCAGCAGGACACTAATAGACTCCTAAAAAGATTCGAGGAACTGTTGACATGGGCCAGGATGAAGATAAAGCCATACAAGTCTCGCAGTGTCTCAATCCGCAAAGGAGCCAGGAGAGACGACATCTCCTTCCCAGTGGATGGCGAGGAGATTCCACGCCTGACAGAACAGCCGGTGAAAAGCTTGGGAAGGCCATACACAGCTGACCTGTTAGACAAAACATGGCGGTCTCTGTGACAGCACAACTCACTGCTGGTCTGAAGAACATCGACCAAAGCCCTCCACCTGGCAAGTTTAAGGTCTGGTGCTACCAGTTCACCCTGTTCCATCGCCTCATGTGGCCCTTAAAGCTGTGTGACATCCCCTCTTCAGCAGTCCAGAAGATGGATGCTAAGGCGAACATCCGGAAGTGGCTAGGCCTTCCACGATGCGTGTCACGGTCAGCTCTATTTGGAAGGAACACCTTAAGACTTCCACTGAAAATCATATTCTTGGGCTATAAACTGGAGAAGGCGAGACTGCGGTTCGACCTAAAAAATTCACCTGATCCTACCGAGAGCCAAAGTCAGGAGTCAATTCCGAACAGGAAGAAGATGGGACGCATCACATGCATTAGACCAGGCCATAACCCGTCTGAAACATCAGGAGTTAGTAGGGGCAGTGCAGTATGGCACGGTAGGTTATGGGTGGTGAACACCACCCAAGCCATGGTCCAAAGCCTCAAGGGAGGAAAGGAAACAGCTCGTGTTTTCGGAAGTCAGAAGGGGGGAAGAGGAGGGCTACAAGGTCATGGCAGTAACCCTATCTCAGCAATGCAGATGGACCTGGGAGGCTGTCACCGACAGGTCCATCACGTGGTCTAATCTATGGAAATTGTCCTAAGCAAAGCTATGTTTCTTGATCAGAGCCACATATCTCCCAAGCACCCAAAATCTGCACCGCTGGTACGAAAATGAGCTCTGCCGGCTTTGCGGCCAACAATGTCCCAGCCTCCAGCACATCCTCTCTAACTGCAAGACTGCATTGACCGAGGTGCGCTACAGATGGCGTCACGACAGAGTTTTGCAAAAGCGATTGAAGCACGCAGGCTCGAAGTGAACCGTGCCAGCCCATCAACATCACACCTGCCCATCCAGTTTGTTTGACATGGGGGAGAGGCACTTAGTGGCACAGTAACAGAGGTACTTGCTGACACCTGGAAGGGAGTGGGCCCTCACAGCTGAACTGGATCACCAGTTGAAGTTCCCTCAGGAGAGTCCTCAAAGAGCTGCCAGAAGAGGCAGAGCAAGGGAGCTTTTGGGTCTGGCTCCGTAGAAAGGACAAGGCTTGGTGGAAAAGATGGATCCTAAGTCTGGCTGCAGGGGGCGGCAGGGAGATGTCCTGGGTTAAAGGAGTGAAGGGTGGCTCCCGGCTGACGACCCTGTAGCCGGACCAAAGGCACTGGCGGAAGTGTGTCAGGCAGGAATGCCTTGCAGGTGGTCTCACCTGTGCTTACAACTATCATTAATCTGAATTAATAACTGCTGTAAAGATTTGTGGTTTTAAGTTCATGATATCTAGTGTATGAATGTTAAGAAAAGAGTCCTATTGCAAAGTGTTAACAAATGCGTGTAGGTACTAACTTCAGGCCAACTTGGCTCTTAATGCTTAGAGGACTTGGCTTTAACACATTGTGTTTGCTTCAACAACTGCCAAGCATGTCCGGGGCTGCTCAAAGGCAAGATTCAAGTTTTCCGGTAATCTTCATAATCTTCAACCATCCACACAACATAGTCTGAAGGGCAGAACGGGAACCTGGCATCCTCATGTGCCAGAAACCAGACATTTCACACTCAGTTTGCTCATTGGAACATCAGTCCCTGGCACTGAAGGGGCCAAACCGTGTCTACTGAGATTTCTGCTTTAATGGAAACACTGGGGGGAATCCATGCTGCTGCCACAGGTGCATCAGACCCATCTAATCACACAGATGATTGCGTTTTCTGTCACAGTGCTTGTGTGTGAAAAACAGATGCTCACCTACATGTTATCTCAGGAAATTGCATTCACTATAATTCAAGAATTAACTCTGAAAATATAGTGACAAACAAGACAAACATCATGAGATCATCCCCCTTCAACTGCCAATTAAAGAGTCAAAACAGAAATTCAACTCATCAGGTTGATTATTTTTTTTATAAGGCACAACTATGAGCCAATGCATGAAACAGTTGGTGGCCGCTTGTGTGCGTTTTAAATAAATTATTGATGTGATTGCTTTTAACAATGTGAACCTTGAGCAAACTTAGTGGGCTGAAGTGGAATTTACTGTATACAATGTTAATGGAATAGTAAAAAGGGGTAAAAGGTCAAAGAGAGATTTCTCAACTGAATGGATCTCCAGTTGTTTAGACTTTAGACAGACA